CAGGCTAGCTCGGTGCATAGCAGGAAACTCACTCACCCCACAGTGCACGGGGAAAGTCTCTTCTCGCTCATGAAGCGCCCCGTGTGTGGGCGAACCCCAGCATTCAAGGATGTTCCTACAGGGGCCCCAGCACTTGGGCCGTCTTCTGCTGCTTTCCCAGGCACGTTAGCAGGGAGCTGGATTGCAAGTGGAGCGGCCGGGACTTGATTGGTGCTCTGATTCGGGATGCCGGCATCACCAGCGGTGGCTTAGGTTGCTGCGTCACGGTGCCTTCCCTGGTAAAGCCGCTAACGCCATCAGGGGATCCCGCCGTCCTGGCCTCGCCTGCTTCTCATGACCGCCCAGAGTGCACTCTGAGCACGTGGACTTGGGCTTCTGGGGACGCCTTTGAAGCACAGCTGTTTCGTCACGGTGGAAGTGACCGTGCTGACTGTGGATGTGCAGGGGCAGAGAAGCTCCCACTGGGCCCCAGGAGAAGAGGGCTGAGTCCCTGCCAAGCCCGTCCCTGAGTGACCTCTCAAGGTGAGGCCCTCTGCCCACCCTGGGTCTTTCTGGGCAGAGGAAGCCTGGGAGGCTGAGGCCCTGGTGGGGGCTGCCCCTGAGCCATGAGGACAGCAGGTGCACAAGGCCCTTCCTCAGACGGTTCTGATGCCCCCCGCAAGGCTTGGGCATACAGAAAGGTGCTGACCCCCAGTGCCACGCTCTGTCACCCGTACCCCTTCTCCCTACCGCTCCTGCTGTGCACCTCGGGGAAGGGGCCAACAAGTGAGGCCGTCTCAGAACCTAAGGCTCAGGGCTGGTGCTGAAATCGTGGGTTAAGCTGCCTCCTGCGGTGCCATATGGGTGGTGCTTCAAGCCCAGGCTGCTCCACTTCCAGTCCAGCTCCCTGCTAATGCACCTGGGAAGGCAGTGGAGGATGACCCAAGTCCTTGGGCCCTGCACTCACATGGGAGACCTTTGGGGAGTGAACCAGCAGATGGAAGATCTCTGTCTCTCCTCTCTCTGTAACTATGACTTATAAATAAATAAATCCCTATATTTATTTATTTTACAAAAAGAGCCCACGGCTCTGAAAGGAGCCTTCTAGGCTTCTGTGAGTGAGTGTGGAGCCCAGATGTCAGGGGTGAGGGGCTACCTGCTGTGGCCCTGCAGGGGCAGTGGGGGTGAAGCAGGTGCACCCAGCCCAGAGCGGCCAGTCCGGTCCGTGTGTGGGGGTGGGTGGGGGACACGGGTGTTTCGCAGGGTTTCAGCCCCGAGGGGAACTTGCATCAGCGATAACTGCTGGGGCGGGCTTGGGAGTGGGTGGCCTTGAAGGGTCTGTCTGCCCGGTACCCCTGCTCTCTCATGGCTGTGTAGGTGTAGGTGGGGTGTGGGGCAGGTGAGGGTGTGGCTGGGGGGCAGGGGAGTGTTTCAACATGCGATGTATGTGTGGGGGGTGCCGAGGGAGGGGCAGCACAGGGGAGCCGGCCCTTGGCAACGAAGCCTGCAGGACTGGACGCTGGGGGTGCCGTGGCCAGCTGAGGTGCAGACAGCTCTGCAGGGGGAGACGCACCTCTGGCCTTGCTGTGGCATTCCTGGCGGGTCATCGGGCTGCGGCCCTTGGGCAGGCACTGCAGCCAGGGCACTCAGACGCTCTGCTGTGTGCGGCGCTCGCCCTGACCGTGGACCCTCAGCAGACCCCACTGGTCCTGCTCACAGGCCGCCTCCCGGACACTGAGGGCACCTGGTGTACCTGTGTCCTGGCTTCCCCTCACCTGCCACCCCCAGCCCTGGGCATCAGTGGGGTCTCTGGGCTGGACCCCTCACATGGAGGCAAGGGCTGTGCAGGGGTTAAAGACTTGGCTGTTAGAACCTCGTGAAGCTGGGGCCAATTGGGGAATGAACCATCGGATGGAAGACCTCTCTCTCTCTACCCCTCTCTATAACTCTTTCAAGTAAATAATAAATCTTAAAAAAACAAAAACACACATACTGTGGTACCTGTATAGTTCCCATTTGTTGACTCATTAGGCAGAGTGGACAGTGAGAGAGAGGGAGAGAGAGACAGAGAGAAAGGTCTTCCTTTGCAGTTGGTTCACCCTCCAATGGCCGCCGCGCCCGGCGCGCTGTGGCCGGCGCATCGCGCTGATCCGAAGGCAGGAGCCAGGTGCTTATCCTGGTCTCCCATGGGGTGCAGGGCCCAAGGACTTGGGCCATCCTCCACTGCACTCCCTGGCCACAGCAGGGAGCTGGCCTGGAAGAGGGGCAACCGGGACAGAATCTGGCGCCCCGACCAGGACTAGAACCTGGTGTGCTGGCGCTGCAAGGCGGAGGATCAGTCTATTGAGCCGCGGAGCCGGCCGATAAATATGATTCTTGACCCAAAAAGTCTGTTCACCTCCCGACACTGGACAGCCTGCAGGCTACGAGCGGCAATGCCCAGGCCAACCACAAGAGGGAACTATTTCACCAGCTATGGTTTGAAGGATCCCAGCAGGGCTCTTCTCCCTCCTCGGGCTCGTTCTAAAATTGGTTCAAGTTTTCTTTACGGTGAGCAGTGCAATCGGGTCTCTGTGCGGAGGCTCCGTAGCCAGGGGCGGACGCATCGTCGCCCCGCGCGCCCAGGAGATGGAATTAGAAGTGAGCCTGCGAGGCGCTAGGGGAGAACCCGAGCTTGACCAACCTGTTTGCAGCCCAGCCTCGCAGAGCGGACCGGAGGGCTGGTTTGTGTTTCTAGCAGGAGAAGCCCCACTCCGCGCAGGACTCGTTTTGCGTGGGCGGGGAGGGGCGTCCCGGGGCGGAACTGGACGCCGGCACTTCCCGGGTGGAGAGGCGCCAAGGTCTAGTGGGTAAAGCTGCAGCCTGCAGTGCTGGCATCCCATACAGATGCTGGTTCGAGTCCCGGCTGCTGCACTTCCAATCCAGCTCCCTGCTAATGCGCCTGGGAAATGCAGCAGCGGTCAGTGGTCACCCCTGGGGCCCGTTGCACCGGGAGCAGCGCCCGCCCCACGTGCCAACCACGCGCGCTCGGGTCCCTGCGCGTGTTTAAGGGCGCAGGACGGAGGCGGCTCAGCCAGTGTGAGTGTGGGCAGGGTCACGGCCCCCAACCGCGGCTCTGGACCCAGCCCCGCCAGGGACTGCAAGGTTAACAGTGCCCCCCGCTTCTCTGACCTTCTAGAACTGTGGGCTGCCCCGCCGTGAGCGGCCTGTTTCGCTAACTTGCTGTGGAGAGCGACCCGTGGTGGGCTCCAGGCCAGGAGCTGAGGTCCAGGCAGGGGTCGGGGGGCTGCGCGCGCAGGCGCCGAGGCGCAGCAGTTGATTTGCCCTTTCCAGGGCCAGCGGCACCCAGGAGCCCCACTCCCAATCCAGCTCCCTGCCGGCGCGCCTGGGAAAGCAGCAGCAGGTGGCCCGGGCCCTCGGGTCCCTGCGCCCCCGTGAGAGGCCAGGGTGGAGCTCCGGGCTCCTGGCTTTGACTTGGCCCAGCCCCAGCTGTTGAAGATTTTCTCTCTCTCTCTCTGTCTCTCCCTTTTTCTATCGTCCTGCCTTTCAAATAAAGAAGTAAAGGCCCCGTGGCTCCGTAGTGCCTCACAGGGCGTGGGCACGTGTTGGATCCACTCTGAAGAGGATCTGTTCCGGTCGGGCTACCGAGGGAGCCCCCGCCCTCACCGGGAAGTCGCTGAACTTCTCTGAGGCTCTGTTTGCTCTGCTGTAAAATGGGCATAATACTGCCTGCCTCAAGAGCCTGCGCTGCTGGGAGGAGGGGTCCCAGCCTTGTTCCTTGGCCTCTGCACCGCAGGGGACAGGCTGATACCTGCAACCTGCTGGGTGTGATGGCGTTGCCACCCCCATGCCCTGGTGACCTGGGGGATGCTCTTCATTGAGTGCCAGGGTGGGCTTTGGGAGACTGGGGTGTGCCTTGTTGGTTAAGGGCCTGGGCGAACTCAGGCTTTAGGCAAGGGGTTTTAGGGTTTTTTAGGCAAGGGGTTTAGCTTCTCGGTGCTGCTGCTTCCGCCTTTGCTGTGGGAGCCGCAGTGGCACTTCCTGCATGAAGCCCACTCAATGCATGGGACATGTTGTCGAGTGGCCGCTGGCCCACAGTAAACTCTTTTTTTTTTTGCCAGGCAGAGTTAGACAGTGAGAGAGAGAGAGAGACAGAGAGAAAGGTCTTCCTTTTCTGTTGGTTCACCCCACAATGCCCGCTGCAGCCAGCGTGCTGTGGCCGGTGCACCACACTGATCCAAAGCCAGGAGCCAGGTGCTTCCTCCTGGTCTCCCATGTGGGTGCAGGGCCTAAGCACTTGGGCCATCCTCCACTGCCTTCCCGGGCCACAGCAGAGAGCTGGACTGAAAGAGGAGCAACCAGGACAGAATCCGGCGCCCCAACCGGGACTAGAACCCGGGGTGCCAGTGCTGCAGGCAGGGGATTAGCCTACTGAGCCGCGGCTCCGGCAACAGTAAGCTCTTGAAACCAGGAGCAGTTTTCACTGCTGTTACTGTCCTAGGCAACTTGTTAATTAACTGTTCTTGTTAACTGTTCAAATTAAAAAAAAAAAAAAAAACAACTATGGTTTTGAGCGGCAGACACACACACACACACACACACTCACCCCCGGAACTCCCATTTGCTGGTTCATTCCCTAAGTGCCTGCAATGGTCTGGACTGGGCCAGGTCAAAGCCAGGAACTAGGAACCCAGTACAGGTCTCCCACATGGGTGGAAAGAACCCAACTACTTGTTGGAAACAAATGTTTTTAAAAAGATGGGCCCGGCGCCGTGGCTCACTTGGTTAATCCTCTGCCTGCGGCGCCGGCATCCCATATGGGCGCCAGGTTCTAGTCCCGGTTGCTCCTTTTCCAGTCCAGCTCTCTGCTGTGGCCAGGAAGGCAGTGGAGGATGGCCCAAGTGCTTGGGCCCTGTACCCGCATGGGAGACCAGGAGGAAGCACCTGGCTGCTGGCTTCCATTTAGCACAGTGCTGGCCATGGCGGCCATTTGGGGAGTGAACCAATCGAAGGAAGACTGTGGGGAGCAATCCGGACTGGACTAAGTTACTCGAATTAGGACTTATTCTATGCATCTGCTCTCCCACAATATGGCGCTGGGAGAGAAGTAAACAGCTTCCGCACAGCTGCCTCCAGTTCAACCAATTAACTGTAGGACTTGCTCCTGATTGGAGAGCAGCGTACTCAGCCGAGTTGGGATTGGCGGAGGAGGACTATAAAGGAGGAGAGAGACGGCATGCACCGGGAACATCTATGGGGAACATCTAAGGGAACCCGTGCAGCCCCCGAGAAGAGCCGGCCGGCGGTGTGCCGCTCCCCTGCGGAAGTGGGGAATGCGGCCAGGGGGAACTGCCCTTCCACGGAGGTGGAAGGGATAGTGGCCAACCCGGGAAGAACCAGCAGCAAACCCGGGGAGGGCCGAGCAGACTGAAAGAACAGCGCAGGGTCCTGTGTCGTTCCTCCACGAAGAGGGGGAGCGACATAATGGTGCCGTGACTCGGATAGGAAACCTGACTCGGATAGGAAACCTAGCTCGGATAGGAAACCTAGGACGGATAGAAAACTTAGGAGGGAAGAAACCGGGAAGAAGTGGGAAATTACCGGAGAGAGAGACTAGCAAACAGCCTAGGGAAAAGCCGGACGAAAGAGGTGCCGGAGGAAGCTGTTGAAAGCCTAGGCATAGATTCAGATACGGACTACAAGGGGAAGCTGGGAGAAATCTCTAAGGTTGAAAGCGAAAGTGAAAGCTTTCATAGACTCGGATGCGGACTATGGCGGGGAAGCTAGGAGATTGAAAGCGAAAGTGAAACCTGGAGGAGGCTTGGACTCGGATACGGACTGTGGGAAAGAAGTTAGGATTTAAAGTGAAAGCAAGAAGAAACTTAGACTCAGATACGGACTGCAGGTTGAAAGTGAAAGTGAAACCTAGAAGAAACTTAGACTCGGATACGGACTGTGGGGAGAAGCCAGGAGAAATGAGAGGAATATTGTTGGAAGAAAACTTAAGGAAACAACCGGGTAGAGAAAAATGTTAGGGAGGATGAAGCCGCGAGTGCAGGCTGAGGCGGAGATATAAGCCACCTTGGAATTCTTCAAGTCACCCCGGGGAGCAAGAGGCGAAGATCTGGAACCAGAGGCAGAGACGTGGGCCGCCAGGATTCACCAGGTTAGTCCGGGGAACTTGGACTGAATGCCGGTGGTGGCGGAAACACTCGCGGAAGCCGCCGCGTGCAGAGAGAGCACGGGGCGTGAATAGATAGGGAACGGGGCTGGCGTAGGCCGTGGTTCAGACGCGAAAGGGTTAAGCGTGGAGACCGCGGAGCGCGCGAAGCCGAGCCGCACAAAGCCGGGAAGCTGCGCAGATGAGAGAGGCGCGCGGGCTGAAGCGGCGCAGAGCCGGGAACCCGCCAGCAGGGCGAGGTGCCGGAAAGCCGCGGGGATAAGAGAAACAGAAATCTTAGAAGTAAAGTGAGAGAAATAGGAACGTTGGCAGACAGAAGTAAAATGGGAGAAATAGGAATGCCCGGAGATAGAGAAATAGAGAAAAATAAGGCCTCCCCTCAACATGCCAATTAGGAGGCTTGGATTCGGTCTGCCTGATTTAAGGCGGTAAGCGCCAGCAAAGCTCGACCAGAGTATGAGCTGCAGGTCACCGAAGATAGGCACGAACCAACACTAATAAGTCTCCCCCACAATAAGGCAATGAGAAGGCTTGGATTCGGTTTGCCTGATAGGTTTTGTAAGCCCCTGCGGGCAGAGCAGAGCATGCGCTGCAGGGCACCGAACACAGGCATGCATCAGCGCCTAAAAACCTCCTCACAATGGCGAAGAGAGGACCCGGATTCGGTTTTCCTGATTGATAGGACTTGTAAGAGCCTGTGGCAACTCTAGCAAGTAGAGCAGAGTGTGTTCCGCGGGACACCGAAGACAGGCGCGTATCAACGCTAAAAAATAAAAAGAAAGGGGGATCTGTGGGGAGCAATCCGGACTGGACTAAGTTACTCGAATTAGGACTTATTCTATGCATCTGCTCTCCCACAATATGGCGCTGGGAGAGAAGTAAACAGCTTCCGCACAGCTGCCTCCAGTTCAACCAATTAACTGTAGGACTTGCTCCTGATTGGAGAGCAGCGTACTCAGCCGAGTTGGGATTGGCGGAGGAGGACTATAAAGGAGGAGAGAGACGGCATGCACCGGGAACATCTATGGGGAACATCTAAGGGAACCCGTGCAGCCCCCGAGAAGAGCCGGCCGGCGGTGTGCCGCTCCCCTGCGGAAGTGGGGAATGCGGCCAGGGGGAACTGCCCTTCCACGGAGGTGGAAGGGATAGTGGCCAACCCGGGAAGAACCAGCAGCAAACCCGGGGAGGGCCGAGCAGACTGAAAGAACAGCGCAGGGTCCTGTGTCGTTCCTCCACGAAGAGGGGGAGCGACAGAAGACCTTTCTGTCTGTCTCTCTCTCTCACTGTCTATGACTATACCTGTCAAATAAAAAAAAGTGTATGATTGTTTAAAAGAATGTGTACTTGGGGGGCCGGCAAAGATTTATTTATTTACTTGAAAGGCAGAGCTACAGAGAGGCAGAGGCAGAGAGAGAGGGAGGTTGGTCTTCCCATCCGCTGGTTCACTCCCCAAATGGTTGCAACGGCCAGAGCTGGGCCAATCCTAAGCCAGGAGCCAGGAGCTAGGAGCTTCTTCTGGGTCTCACACATAGGTACAGGGGCCCAGGGGCCATCCTCCACTGCTTTCCCAGGTGCATAAGCAGGGGGCTGGATCAGAAGTGGAGCAGCCGGGATTCAAACCAGCGCCCAAATGTGATGCTGGCACTGCAGGCAGCAGTTTTACCTGCTCTGCCACAGCGCCAGCCCCTTGTTGGGAAACTTAAAGGGTTGTATGAATCTGCTGGACAGTCGACAGCAGTGGGCTCGTATCGCTGGCCTCTGGAGGATCGTGTGAAGACTGGTGGGCTGGACTAGCCGCGGAGTGTGGCGGTGGTAGGTTATGGTGGGGATGACGGTGGGTGTCGTGGTGTGGTTGTGGGGCTGATGGTGCCGTGGAGTGGTTGTGATTGGCGTGGGGTGGTTTCTGGTGTTGGTGGCCTGTGCAGTGATGTGGGGTGGTGGCAGTGGGCAGTGCCGGGGTGTGAGTGTTGTTGTTGGTGGAATGATGAGGCTGACAGTGGGTGTGGTGTTCTTTATCCGGGTGAGGTAGTGTAGCGTGGCTGTTGTTGGGGTGGCAGAGTGACTGGTCAGGTGGTCGGCTGATGAGGTCACTGCTGATGGTGAGGGCGTGGTGGTGGAGACTTTTGGTGACGGTGGACACGGAACCATGGGGACAGCGGTGTGTGGTGAGCCATGAGGACTGGCCTCTTTCTCTCTGACGCCTTGAGTCATCCTTGTGACTACCACGGTGGTGCCCATGTCAGACACCAGGTGTGTGCCTGATTCCAGCTCCCCAGGACCCCTGCCGGTACTCCCAGCAGGCCCTGGGGCTCCCCCAGCCAGGGTCAGTCCCGGCTGTGCAGGAGTTCGAAGCTGAGGCTCCATTTCTGCTTGTGGTCTCAGACTTGTGAGAGTCCTGAGTAGGCAGACAGGCCTACTCTTTATGCTAGAGGCTCACCATGCACCCTCTTCCCCTCCGAGCAGCCACAGGCGTTTTACAGATACTGAGCACATATTTCTCAGAGCGTCCCTTTGATGTTGGGGTCAGGTGGAAGAACCCCGCTTTATCGATGCCAAAATTGAGGTGTCCCTACAGGTCCCATGTTTCTTAAACCATCGCGAAGCAGGGTTTAAGCTCTACAGCCCTCCCTGCGGCTGGCAGAAGTAATCTGCGTTGGGCAAAAAGGCCGTTTGTTCTATTTCAGCCTCCGCTCCGCTATGGAAAAAGGACGGGCGGAGCTGTTCCTTTTCATTTCTCAGCGAGCCCTGCCGGCCGCCGCCATGCAGGTCTATCTGTTGTGACCCTGTTTTCTTGTGGGCAGGAGAGAGGCAGGGATGTGGGGCAGGTGCTGCCCAGAGCGCTGGAGGCAGTGGTGAGTGTGGCTTTCTGCAGGAAGCTTGGGCGGGTCAGCAGTATTTCCACTGCCCTTGGCATCCTGGGGAAGAGAGACAAAAAAAAAAAAAAATACCCAAAGCCTCTGAAACGTCTCTCGCTGACCACCCCACAAAGTGTTCGCTGTGCGTTCAGGAAAGTGGAGAAGCGCCACCTTATCCTGGACACTGCACTCTGGGTGCGGGGCCGGCACGGATGGAGCGGGTGTGTTTAAACTAAGACAAGAAAAAGCTGTGCCTCAGAACGTACTCATCTCCCAAAGTCTCCCTGAAAATGCTAATTGTGCACGTTCGGCGGAAGCCGTGGGCTCCCCGCAGCCTCACCGAGTCCTATTTGCCGATGTTTTATGGGGGTGATTTAAACCTTAGAGCCTTCCCTCCAGTGCCGGGGCTTGGTGCTCTCTTCTCATTAACTCGTGTTCCCGTTATTGGCCTGTAGTTGCAATCCCGGGCTTTCAATAAAGGGCCCGGCTCTGTCAGGGGATGGGGAAGTCACAGAGGTGGCCTCAGTGGTGATCACTGGGTTGGCAACTTTGCAAATGTAAGAACAGCACACGAGGCAGAAATGAGACGCCGCGTGCAGCGCTGATGGCGAGGAACCGTCTCGTCTCCCTGTGCCGTGGCGGCGCAGTGCTTGGGACTGAGGTGCCGCGGCCTGTGCCTGCTGCACAGTGCGGTGGGGTCCTGGGGAGCTGCTCTGTGCCAGGCCCTGGCCAGGTGTGCAGATACTGGGATGAGGAAGACAAGGCCCCTGAGCTCGGTCGTGGGGGAGAGAGGCAGAGAGACAATGCGTGGAGGCGAGTGGTGCAGACTGAGCACTGTGGCAGGGTGCATTCTCCTGGACAGCATTCAGGGACGCTGGCCTAGGCACAGGTCACTGGGGAGCGTCAGGGAGGAGATTGTCAATGGCCGTCTGCTGAAGGCCGCCAGGAATACACCTGCTGCCGAGCCTGGGTTCCTGACAGTCTCCACGCAGGAGAGTGCACAGCCCGGGGAACCCTGGAGTGCTGGCAGGGCTCGTGAGATGATTTGGGCCCTGGCTACTGATTTAGGGGAGAGTGCAACAAAACGGGCTCTTATCTGGGTCAGTGGTTCAGAAAGTGGGCATACTTGGTGACTGTACATCTTTTCAAGAATACTTCAGAAAGTTCACGGGAAATGGAATTAAAAGATAAATTTTGGGCTGGCTAGGCTGCAGCCTGCCTCGCTGGCATTTCATATGGTGCTGGTTCAAGTCCCGCCTGCTCCACTTCCAATCCAGCTCCCTGCAGATGCACCTGGGAAGGCAGTGGATGATGGCCCAGGTGCTTGGATCCCTGCACCCACGTGGGGAACCTGAATGGAGTTCCTGGCTCCTGGCTTTGTGCTGGCCTAGCCCTGGCCATTGCGGTTGTTTGGGGGCATGAACCAGCAGATGGAAGATCAAGCTCTGTCTCTATCTCTCCCTCTCTCTGCCACTCTGCCTTTAAGTAAATATAACAAATCTTCAAAAAGTCTTTTATTTTTTTAAAAAGATTTATTTATTTTACTTGAAAGTCATAGTTACACAGAGAGAGGAGAGGCAGAGAGAGAGAGAGAGGTCTTCCATCCGATGGGTCACTCCCCAATTGGCCGCAATGGCTGGAACTGTGCCGATTCAAAGCCAGGAGCCAGGAGTTTCTTCCTGGTCTCCCACGTGGGTACAGGGGCCCAAGGACTTGGGCCATCTTCCACTGCTTTCCCAGGCCATAGCAGAGAGCTGGATCGGAAGTGGAACAGCTGGGACTTGAACCTGTGCCCATATGGGATGCTGGTGCTTCAGGCCAGGGCGTTAACACACTGCGCCACAGCGCCAGCCCCCAAAAAGTCTTTTTTTTTTTTTCCAAAAAAGTCTTTTAAAATACACTGAAATCAATGCATGTGGGAATCTTCAAAAAGTTCATGGAAAGTGCATTTTATGGAAAAACTATGCATGGATTTTAAAATTTTTGGCACCTAAACAAGCTTATCTTTTAATCCTCCACCTTTTTTTAACCCAAACATGTTCAAGTACCCATGCACTGGTACTAGATTCAACACTGATAATCTGGGCGGTGGGAAGAGTGGAGTGGGTTAGAGCTATCCCTGGGAAAGAA